TAGCGGGTTAGAGGTAATACTTAGTCCTAAAGTGGTTTAGAGGTAATACTTAGTCTTGTAGTGGGTTAGAGGTAATACTTAGTCTTGTAGTAGGTTAGAAGTAATACTTAGTCTTGAAGTGGGTTACAGGTAATATTTAGTCTTGCAGTGGGTTAGAGGTAATATTTAATCTTATAGTGGGTTAGAGATAATATTTAGTCTTGTAGTGAGTTAGAGGTAATACTTAGTCTTGTAGTAGGTTTAGAGGTAATACTTAGTCTTGTAGTGGGTTAGAGGTAATACTTAGTCTTGTAGTGGGTTAGAGGTAATACTTAGTCTTGTAGTAGGTTAGAGGTAATACTTAGTCTTGTAGTGGGTTAGAGGTAATACTTAGTCTTGTAGTAGGTTAGAGGTAATACTTAGTCTTGTAGGAGGTTAGAGGTAATACTTAGTCTTGTAGTGGGTTAAAGGTAATACTTAGTCTTGTAGTGGGTTAGAGGTAATACTTAGTCTTGTAGCGGGTTAGAGGTAATACTTAGTCTTGTAGTGGGTTAGAGGTAATACTTAGTCTTGTAGCGGGTTAGAGGTAATACTTAGTCTTGTAGTGGGTTAGAGGTAATACTTAGTCTTGTAGTAGGTTAGAGGTAATACTTAGTCTTGTAGTTGGTTAAAAGTAATACTTAGTCTTGTAGTGGGTTAGAGGTAATACTTAGTCTTGTAGTGGGTTAGAGGTAATACTTAGTCTTGTAGTGGGTTAGAGGTAAAACTTAGTCTTGTAGTAGGTTGGAGGTAATACTTAGTCTTGTAGTGGGTTAGAGGTAATACTTAGTCTTGTAGTAGGTTGGAGGTAATACTTAGTCTTGTAGTAGGTTGGAGGTAATATTTAGTCTTGTAGTAGGTTAGAGGTAATACTTAGTCTTGTAGTGGGTTAGAGGTAATATTTAGTCTTGTAGTGGGTTAGAGGTAATATTTAGTCTTGTAGTGGGTTAGAGGTAGAGGTAATATTTAGTCTTGTAGTGGGTTAGAGGTAATACTTAGTCTTGTAGTGGGTTAGAGGTAATATTTAAACGTGTAAGTAATGCTTAGTCTTTCAGAGTATTTAAACTAGTCTACCAACCAAGCTTGTAACCTTGCTCAAACTGGGTCAACAAAATCATTATATTGCCAACTGAGTCTGCATCGAGGCAGATTTTTAAACATAATAAATTGGCTTCCAAATTGATCCAACTAAAAATGCCTACCAGGAAGTATCATAGGAAGTAAAGGTGGCCAGTAGAATGTTGACCACATCACCCATCACGTACCACTTGGCCTCTAAAAAAACATGAGTCTATCACCACATTCCCCCTGCACCAAGGTTCCTGATTTGTTATTAGTTTTCCACAGAGACATCGTATGGTTGTGAGTCATGGACTCTCGCTGAGTCTTTGAAAAAAATAAAATCTGAGCTTTTGAATCAAAGTGCTACATAAAGATTCTTAGAATAATGTGGACCAAGAAAAGAAAAACATCTATATCCTGCATGATCTGAATATCAAGGAAAACTGGCTCATAAACAGCATCCTGTCCCAAAAGTTGAGCTATTTTGGACATGCCAAGTGCCATGGTGGTCTGGAGAGAACATGCCAAGTGCCATGGTGGTCTGGAGAGAACATGCCAAGTGCCATGGTGGTCTGGAGAGAACATGCCAAGTGCCATGGTGGTCTGAAGAGAACATGCCAAGTGCCATGGTGGTCTGGAGAGAACATGCCAAGTGCCATGGTGGTCTGAAGAGAACATGCCAAGTGCCATGGTGGTCTGGAGAGAACATGCCAAGTGCCATGGTGGTCTGGAGAGAACATGCCAAGTGCCATGGTGGTCTGGAGAGAACATGCCAAGTGCCATGGTGGTCTGGAGAGAACATGCCAAGTGCCATGGTGGTCTGGAGAGAACATGCCAAGTGCCATGGTGGTCTGGAGAGAACATGCCAAGTGCCATGGTGGTCTGAAGAGAACATGCCAAGTGCCATGGTGGTCTGGAGAGAACATGCCAAGTGCCATGGTGGTCTGGAGAGAACATGCCAAGTGCCATGGTGGTCTGGAGAGAACATGCCAAGTGCCATGGTGGTCTGGAGAGAACATGCCAAGTGCCATGGTGGTCTGGAGAGAACATGCCAAGTGCCATGGTGGTCTGGAGAGAACAGTGATTCAGGGTGCAGTTTCTGGAGAATGGGGCATACTATGAGAAGAAACAGGCTAATCAGTCTATCAGAAGGGAACAGAGTCTGGCTAGAGAGGACTAAACATGTGCTTGAAGTCTTTCAGAAGGGAACAGAGTCTGGCTAGAGAGGACTAAACATGTGCTTGAAGTCTATCAGAAGGGAACAGAGTCTGGCTAGAGAGGACTAAACACGTGCTTGAAGTCTATCAGAAGGGAACAGAGTCTGGCTAGAGAGGACTAAACATGTGCTTGAAGTCTATCAGAAGGGAACAGAGTCTGGCTAGAGAGGACTAAACATGTGCTTGAAGTCTATCAGAAGGGAACAGAGTCTGGCTAGAGAGGACTAAACACATGCTTGAAGTCTATCAGAAGGGAACAGAGTCTGGCTAGAGAGGACTAAACACGTGCTTGAAGTCTATCAGAAGGGAACAGAGTCTGGCTAGAGAGGACTAAACATGTGCTTGAAGTCTATCAGAAGGGAACAGAGTCTGGCTAGAGAGGACTAAACACGTGCTTGAAGTCTATCAGAAGAGAACAGAGTCTGGCTAGAGAGGACTAAACACGTGCTTGAAGTCTATCAGAAGGGAACAGAGTCTGGCTAGAGAGGACTAAACAGGTGCTTGAAGTCTATCAGAAGGGAACAGAGTCTGGCTAGAGAGGACTAAACACATGCTTGAAGTCTATCAGAAGGGAACAGAGTCTGGCTAGAGAGGACTAAACACGTGCTTGAAGTCTATCAGAAGAGAACAGAGTCTGGCTAGAGAGGACTAAACATGTGCTTGAAGTCTATCAGAAGGGAACAGAGTCTGGCTAGAGAGGACTAAACACGTGCTTGAAAGGCATAGGCAGGTCATCATTCTATGCGTAAGGACAGGACATAACAAACTTAACAAGCATATGCACAGGCTTCGTCTATGTAGTTCACCATTGTGCCCTTGTGGGCTGTGTGTGCATACTACAGAATATGTCCCTTGTACAGAGTGTCCCTTGTCCCACCCATTAAGAAGGGAATACTGGCCCAATGAGTCAACACTGCACTCAAAGTTGTATGGAACTAAAAGGGAACTCCTAAAACAGCCAAGTTTAACACAAGAACTTGTTTATCGGTATAAACCAGAAAGCAATCACAAGAAGAAGAAGAAGGAGGAAAATGAGATAGAAGCTGACCTCAGGATACAGGATATTGAAGATGCATTGGGCACAGTAACAGTGCCAACCATTTCCTTTCCGGAGGTCAGTACTTTATCATATGAATATCTTATATGACAGACATGGTTGATCAATAATTCATGAGTGTATTTCACTGCACTTTGAGCACTCCTACATTGCTTTATCCCTGTCCTCAGTAGCCAACGAAGATTTCCCATACTGATTGTACCACCACTTGATTAAAAGTACCCCCATCTTTTCCCCTGAGTGTTGAAAACCAAACACATTCCCTTCTGACTCTCTGCTGACCATATTACCTAATCTGGCATGATGTTTTACATCACCCAGTCTGGTGTGATATTGACTGCATCACCCAGTCTGGTGTGATATTGACTGCATCACCCAGTCTGGTGTGATATTGACTGCATCACCCAGTTTGGTGTGATATTGACTGCATCACCCAGTTTGGTGTGATATTGACTGCATCACCCAGTTTGGTGTGATATTGACTGCATCACCCAGTTTGGTGTGATATTGACTGCATCACCCAGTTTGGTGTGATATTGACTGCATCACCCAGTCGGGTGTGATATTGACTGCATCACCTAGTCTGGTGTGATATTGACTGCATCACCCAATCTGGTGTGATATTGACTGCATCACCTAGTCTGGTGTGATATTGACTGCATCACCTAGTCTGGTGTGATATTGACTGCATCACCTAGTCTGGTGTGATATTGACTGCATCACCCAGTCTGGTGTGATATTGACTGCATCACCCAATCCAGTTTGATATTGACTGCATCACCCAGTCTGGTGTGATATTGACTGCATCACCCAGTCTGGTGTGATATTGACTGCATCACCCAGTTTGGTGTGATATTGACAGCATCACCCAGTTTGGTGTGATATTGACTGCATCACCCAGTTTGGTGTGATATTGACTGCATCACCCCCAGTTTGACTGTGGTGATATTGACTGCATCACCCAGTCGGGTGTGATATTGACTGCATCACCTAGTCTGGTGTGATATTGACTGCATCACCCAATCTGGTGTGATATTGACTGCATCACCTAGTCTGGTGTGATATTGACTGCATCACCTAGTCTGGTGTGATATTGACTGCATCACCTAGTCTGGTGTGATATTGACTGCATCACCCAGTCTGGTGTGATATTGACTGCATCACCCAATCCAGTTTGATATTGACTGCATCACCCAGTCTGGTGTGATATTGACTGCATCACCCAGTCTGGTGTGATATTGACTGCATCACCCAGTCTGGTGTGATATTGACTGCATCACCCAGTCTGGTGTGATATTGACTGCATCACCCAGTCTGGTGTGATATTGACCGCATCACCCAGTCTGGTGTGATATTGACCACATACCCTCTTGAGGTATGGATGCTCTGGCTTTGCTATTGCACTTCTCACTTGATCCCAGAGAACCTTTACCTCATCTGCTTTATCATAAAGTAGCTCACCACCCAAAGGCGCAGCAGCAATCACCCTGCTGATTGCCTCAGAATGCCCTGGGAGAAAAGACGCCATGTTCTTGATCTGAGTATAGGTTGTAGAAGTTTTGTATTAACTAATATAAGTGACAAGAAAAGACTGTGTTAGTGTGTAGGGGATGTTTGATTCTTTATTTTTGTGTGTAACTGCACAGGTATCATTCTAGAATATGAACAAGGAGGTGTCATCAAGACAAAGTCCATTGATCTGTTAGATCTGACACCATCGTGAGTATTTCTAGTTAGTGGATGTAAAGTCTTGTTTGCTGAAGAATTCAGATTTGTTTGTTAGATTGTATTATTACATAAGCACAGTTACATTCACACATTTATGGTTATTATATATTATATTAAAATATGTGTACACATGGGAGTCGCCGTGGCAGAGCGGCTAGATGCGCGCCGCGGATCGGAAGGTCGTGGGTTCGCTCCCTGGTGGAGACGGACTTTTCTTCAAAAATGACCTTGGCTCCCAGGTCGACCCAGCCTTGAGTGGGTACCGGGTGCAATCCCGGGAAGTAGAGGCGGCCGGCGTGATGCTGACCAGGTCACCCGTCTTGTGCCGATTGGTCTATAAAAATATAGGTCTAGCCCTATATGCCCTATACGCCTAAAGGCGTGGAAAGGGTCCTTTACTTTACTTTACTTATGTGTACACACAACACCGGGAGTGGGGGGGGGAGTGAGAGCGATGTAATAATAGCACCTTCCCGTCTTCCAGTTTCCATGTCAGAAGTGGCCGTGATGCAAAGGTGCCAAACTCAGTCACAATGAGAAAAAGAGTGTCATGGTTCAATGTGGAACCTGTTTTGATACATGTGCATGAGAAGCACACACACACACACATAAGCAGGCAAGCTGAAAAAACACCTACTCACAGCAGAGATATGGTTTTTTAGAAGAATGCAAAGAATATCATGGAAAACAATCTTCCTCGAGACAGATGAAAACTGTAAACTGATTAAATTAGCCATACAGATGGTCTCCTCCTCCTCCTCGTTCTTCTTCCATTTCGTCTTCTTTTTCTACCTTTTATCCTCAGTAAGCATAGGCCCTCGACCAACTCTTGCTTAGTTGCCATATCATTTGCTGTCGCGCGTACCTCACTCCATGTCCTCCCCAACTTTTTTAACTTTGCTGTCTCCTTTCCTTCTCCCTGTGTTGTAGACCCATATGTTTTAAAGAATAATGGATATTAATTTGGTGATGTAAACATTTGAAGGACTCTTTTCCACGCCTTCATGCATATTAGGCATATAGGGCTAGACCTGTATTTAATAGACAAATCGGCACCCATTGGGTGATGTGGTCAACTTTACTCCGGATTGGGTGATTTGGTCAACATTGCACCAGATTGGGTGACGTGGTCAACATCACACCAGATTGGGTGATGTGAACATCATGCCAGATAAGGTGATATAGTCAACATGATGCTTGATTGGATGATGTGCTCAACATCATACCACCTGCTTTTATTTCCCATGCCATAAACTGATGCCCATGTTAGGCAGGGTCAACCTTCGAACCTTAGCTCACTTATTAAAATCTGTTTCAATGCAGATTTGAATGCAAGATCCTTGGGTCGGCAGCTAGTGAACTATCACAGCACCCATTGATAAGGGTTAGTCACACACAAATTCCAGTTAATCAAGAGGTGAAGAGAAAAATGCTGGCTTTGGATAAGGCACACATTAAGAACACCTGAGAGCCTGATAATTAGAATGTCTTTGCACTGGAACCCAGAGGGGCATAGAAATAAAAGCTGAGGGAAAACAATGAAGGGTGCTAGGGAAATAGGTTAAAAAGATATAAATGACCTGGGGGTGAGCTGCCTGCAATAGTGTGGGATAGGTCGACTTGGCATGAGTTGATTGAGGGCTTATGTTGCACTGGGGGATAAAGAGGAGAGGAGGAGAAGGAATGAGACACAAAAAGTAGCCTGATATCTTTGATCTGTGAACTACATTTCTCTTTAATCAACATTATTATGTCTTGTTTAGATCTGACGTGGACAAAATTGTGCAGGAGATTGCAGTGAAGGAGCCACTGATCACGCCATCCAAAGCTGAGCAAGTGAAGAAGCTTGTGACTCGTATCCTTTAGTCTCATCTTATCTCTGAGATTAATTTTTTAATATCACCATATAAAATGTAGTAGGGATAAGAAAATAAGTCTTATGATAAATCTATGGGCCAATCAAAGATAAAAACAGCAGAGAAAGGAGAGTTCTAAGCAACATGAAATTCATAATCTTTTTTAAATCATCATTAATTATGTATCATGAGAGTGCCTAGACCGCATTGGTTGGCGCATATAGAGAGAAGGACAAACAACAAGGAGACAAAAACTGTGAATACAGAAAAAGTGAATGGGGGAAAACCATGCTGGGGTAAAGATAACATACAGGAATGGTGACAGGTTATATCTGAAGTAGTGAACCTCCAGAATTTGAAATGCTGAAAAAGAAGAGGATGGATAAGGGAAATGTGAACAAGATAGAAAAGTCATTTGTGTGTTTAAATAATTCTGTTAATGAGGCATGTAATATGCACTGAGGTAGTGTTAAAATATCTTGCAGTTGTCTGTGTAATGGTTGGCGGTATCTTTGATTTGCCGTCGAAGATTGTGCCAAAGTAGAGCTGTTGCAGAGTACGCTATACTTTGCTTGGTATAAGTCTGTCGTACACTAGGCGTTTGTTTTAAACAAATCAGTCCTTTACTTGCGCAGTTGTTTTGTACAAGTCTTTTCCTTCCTTGAGCATTTGGTTTGTGTAAGTCTGTTCTTTCATTGAGCATTTGGTTTGTGTAAGTCTGTTCTTTCATTGAGCATTTGGTTTGTGTAAGTCTGTTCTTTCATTGAGCATTTGGTTTGTGTAAGTCTGAAGCGGTGCGAGTAGCGAGAGAGCATTTGCCTGAGAGGCGAGGAACCAACAGTCTGCATATAAATAAGCTAGGGTGTAAAAATTGATGTGCCATACAAAACTCAGTTTCTGAAACCAGATCAAAGTCCAAACATCGGATGAACAGCCAGATCTTTCCACTGGAGTTTATAGCTGGTGAGCGCTGAGAAGAAGAAGAAGAAGTATTTTTTTGTTCAGAATACATACCATGGATGGATGACAATTAGGTGTAGATAGTCAAGATTATTTGGGCTTGATATAAAGAGACAAACGCTTGAAAAACTTCTTTATTGTGAGAAAGTGTGATAGGAGAAGAACAAGGATAAGACAGAAAGGTGCGTGCCTGGATGACCTGGCCATATGGCTTAACTGGGGCAAGAAAACATGCACATGATCTGATATTGCTATGTTATGCTTTTCTATGAGTTGAAAAAAAAAGTTGACCACATTCAACATCATTTGTTTATATTTGTGGTCTGCTTTATTTGTGAAAAATGTATCGACTGAGACTGGAGTATTCCAGCCAGGTTTGATGGCCTTGTGTCCGTAACTGAATAAATTGTCCATTCCTGTATGTCTAGGTCCCATTGTGGTCCTCTTATCATTGTTGTCCGAATCGTTTTGTCTCCTTTGTATTGATTGTGTGAGATTGCTGATTGTGTAAAAGGGTGAACTATGACAACCAAGCATATCAGCATTGCACATAATGATAATGGAACATTTCTGGATAATTCTGTATATTTCATAGAAAATATACTTAAGCAGTTGATAAAATATAAATCTCGAAACCCTAGACCCATATAAAGTCCAAAGTTCATGTCCAGTCCTAGTTGCAGTATGTTTTACTATTTATGAAATATACATTTTAAAGGGAGCATATAAAAAATCTTTATAAATTCATAGCAGTTTCTGAACTAAGTTACATAGGAATAAAAATATCATTTCTTGTCACTGAGTAACTATGCATGCTATCACCAAATAGCCAAACTGCTTTACTAATAGGTCACTGCAGGATCAACTTCCAGATGCGTTAAAAAAAAAACTTAGTCCACACAGTATGTCAGACGGACCACCTGACATATTCTGCAGGACTGCCCGTTATACTTACACAAAGGAAGAGAAACCTGGCCACAAGAGTAAAGTGTGCAGGGCGAGCATTGGGGAACTATGGAGAACCTGTAACTGATATTCAAGTTCACAGAGGCAGTCCACCTGACAATCTGAACTGAGCATACATAAGCAAACACCTAGAAGAAGAAGAAGAACTAATGCCTCTCGAAGCCATACATAATCAAACACCTAGAAGAAGAAGAAGAACTAATGCTCTCAAAGCCATACATAATCAAACACCTAGAAGAAGAAGAAGAACTAATGCCTCTCGAAGCCATACATAATAAAACACCTAGAAGAAGAAGAAGAACTAATGCTCTCAAAGCCATACATAAGCAAACACCTAGAAGAAGAAGAAGAACTAATGCTCTCAAAGCCATACATAATCAAACACATAGAAGAAGAAGAACTAATGCCTCTCGAAGCCATACATAATAAAACACCTAGAAGAAGAAGAAGAACTAATGCTCTCAAAGCCATACATAATCAAACACCTAGAAGAAGAAGAACAAATGCTCTCAAAGCCATCCATAATCAAACACCTAGAAGTAGAAGAAGAACAAATGCTCTCGAAGCCATACATAATCAAACACCTAGAAGAAGAAGAAGAACAAATGCTCTCAAAGCCATACATAAGCAAACACCTAGAAGAAGAAGAAGAACAAATGCTCTCAAAGCCATACATAATCAAACACCTAGAAGAAGAAGAAGAACAAATGCTCTCAAAGCCATACATAATCAAACACCTAGAAGAAGAAGAACAAATGCTCTCAAAGCCATACATAAGCAAACACCTAGAAGAAGAAGAAGAACAAATGCTCTCAAAGCCATACATAATCAAACACCTAGAAGAAGAAGAAGAACTAATGCTCTCAAAGCCATACATAATCAAACACCTAGAAGAAGAAGAAGAACAAATGCTCTCAAAGCCATACATAAGCAAACACCTAGAAGTAGAAGAAGAACTAATGCTCTCAAAGCCATACATAATCAAACACCTAGAAGAAGAAGAAGAACAAATGCTCTCAAAGCCATACATAATCAAACACCTAGAAGAAGAAGAAGAACAAATGCTCTCAAAGCCATACATAATCAAACACCTAGAAGAAGAAGAAGAACAAATGCTCTCAAAGCCATACATAAGCAAACACCTAGAAGAAGAAGAAGAACTAATGCCCTCAAAGCCATACATAAGCAAACACCTAGAAGAAGAAGAAGAACTAATGCCCTCAAAGCCATACATAAGCAAACACCTAGAAGAAGAAGAAGAAGAAGAACAAATGCTCTCAAAGCCATACATAAGCAAACACCTAGAAGAAGAAGAAGAACTAATGCCCTCAAAGCCATACATAAGCAAACACCTAGAAGAAGAAGAAGAAGAACAAATGCCTCTCGAAGCCCAGTTTCAGGCCCAATTCATGAGAGGCTGGAGTGTCTATAAGAGATCTTTTTCTGCTTGTTTGTCCCACTGATACCAGGTTGTAGCCCAGTGTCAATGTTTTCTGTATTTGTATTACGCTTCTCTGGTGGTTCAAACAATGGGTTTGTTCATCTTTTGACAAGTTTAAGCGACACTATTTATCCATCTCTATCTTGGTCCTCCTCTCGCCTTCCTCCCAGCAGTATAGTGTGTCCTTGCTCGAGGCAAACAGAACCTTACATCTCCTTTGACATCCAAAGCAGTAAAAGGGAAAATAAGAAGAAGAAAGGTAACCAATTTTAAAATGTTCAGAAGTTTAAATTGCTTTACACTGAATAATCAAAAAAATTATGGAAGACCTAAATTTAAAGAAAGAAAAAAATTCACCCATATTTATTTCTGGGGTTCATTTGCAGGTCCTCAGAGCACACATATTGCCACTGACAAATGTTGCTTTCAATAAATCTGGCTCCAGGTAACAATACATGTTTGTTTGACTTTCTCGTATGTCCTTGATTTTTTAATAAGTACAAGTAAATTTTTCAGTCACTTGATGAGAAACGGAGCACTGGGAACAATCGTAAGGACTGGAAAGATCACTGCTAGAAGAGGCAGAAGCAAACCAAGAGAAGTTATGGTAGATGGCTTAAGACAGTGGCATGGAGGAATATCATCAGTGGAATTAATCCAGAACACCAAAGACTGAGATCTGTAGAGATGAATGAGTGCCTATGCCAGCTGGCAAGGCACTTCATGATGATGATAAAAGTCAAGGATCCTTTTCATGTCATTATCATGTGAGGCATATGGTGCTATATCCATATTTGTATACACCAGTCAGTGCACTTGATGGGTGATGAAGTCGGTCAACATCACACTTGTATGTGACTGGTACATCCGGGTGGACTTTTGTCGCACCTTTCCCTGCCAGTTGATAAGCTTTCTCATTTCCAGGCACTCCACAATGAGACGGTATCCACTGCATTACTCTTCGCTGAACACTGAGTTGTGTCAGCAGTGTTTGCAATTCTGGTAGTTTCCTAGACTGGAGTGCTTCAAGTACTGATATAGCATCTGTCAGCATTACCACATACTGTGAGCCAAGATTGGTATTTAGCAGTTTCTCTGTTGCTATCTTGATAGCTTGAGTTTCTGCTTCATAGTTATGGCATTACTTCCTGGTTGGTACACTGGACTTATCCCTAGTACCATCTGGGAATTCGATGTACACTCCAGCACCACCATTTCTAACTGCACTTTCTGCGGACCCATCTGTATAGATTCTGACCCATTATTCTTGTGGGTATTCTTCATCAATATAACTGAGGGTGGCCATTCTGCATTGTACACTATCTTGCTCTTTCTTGTCAAATATCCCTTTCACATTTGTCTGAATTTGTACTGTAAGTTTGCATTTTTCTCTCCATGGGGTTTGTTCCGGAATACTTTTAAGTGGACAAACAATTTCTGGAAGGTCAGCAGTTTGTCTACATATTCTTTTTGCTTGGTGTGTAAAGCTGCTTCTTTTTAACCGCCCCAAGGCCAGGTTCTGAAATCTATTTTTCATCGGGTGATCTGGCATACTGAGGAACTTTTCAGCTTGTATTTGCAACTTTGGATCTCTGCGTCATCCCTCAGTGGGTTATGTGTTCATTATCAGGA